CTTAACTTTATTCAAGTTACAACTTCAACTCAAGTTATAACTCAAATTCAACTCAAAAACTACACTCAAATTACACTCTAAAAGAACAATCTCATAATTATTAGAGGACTCAACAACCTTCATAAAACTGACCCCTCATCACCTTTACTTTACTCAAGTATGTGATACATCCTAAAGATATTCATCTTTAAGGAGAGAATTAATAAACTCCTTAACTGCATTTTCCAGAAACTTTTTGTTTTTTTTTTGTTTTTTTATAGATATTTTACACATTTACTCCTTGAATTTGTATGGTTTTGATAACTTACCACTTAAATTTCATAATTTAACAATTTACCTCTCAACTTGTAAAACTATTACAATATGTCATATTTTATGATGATTGTATTAAATTAACGATGAAAAAGCATGTTCGACAAAAAGTTTTAATATCTCAATTTAAATCGTAATACAAATCTATCAATTCCCTAAGTTTCAACTCTTAAATGTGACAAAAATTCCAAACAAAAGTGATAAAATATTGCAATTATTTTGTACAGGTTTCCACAATGAGATCAGACTATATGATCTAATGTTGTGCTTGCTGTTAATGATGTGAATTCCTCCTTTTGGCCGCCTGACCTTATTATTGATGATAGAGCTTATTTGCTATAATATGATGGGGTTGGTAGGTGCTATCATATTTCCCTAGCAAAGTTAGCATTGTCTAAGGGCCCATATGATGACATTGAAAATTTTTGTTGTTACTGTGCTGTTAGTCAGACGTTATTGTAACTAGAAATATGTAGGTGTTCAATAATTTTTTTTCAAAATTGCTTTGAATGCCAGAAGCAGAAATTTAAGTATTTAGTAAATTATATACAAAATTATTGTAAATATATATAATGACTAAAATAGACATACTTTAACTCACATATTTATAACTAGTTTTATTACTATTTTTATAGTCAATATTCGTAATATTTATAGACTAAAATATATAATTTTCATTTTATTAATTAAAATATCTTTAAAAATAAATTGATTTTATTCAAGGAGATAAATTATATATTTATAAAGAAATTAAATAACGTAAAGAACTAAAGGTAAATTATTTTTCAAACTTGCAACATTATAATAAAATATATTATTAAAATTTAGCATAAGATATTTATTAAATAATTTTAATTTTCAAATAAACATTTAAAATAAAATATATTCTTTAATTTGATTTGGAAGAAATAAAGTTAGTTGATTGGAATTAAGTTTTATTATTATGGTCATTTTAATAAATTTGGACAATGGCAATAGAAGTTGTTGTAGAAAACGCTTGACTTGCTTCTCAAATTTTGTTGTGGGCAGTAGTTTTTAGAAGTTGCTGAACAAAAACATAATTTACCAAATACCCTAATCACTGTAACTTCTTAAAAGAAGCTAAAAACTAAAAGGGAGAAAGAGAGAAATAGGTCAAAACTTAAGATGAATTAAAATTAATAGGTCAATAGTTTACATAAGTTAATTAATAGACCAAATTACTATTTTCGTCCATAACTTGTCTGGTTATGAACCATAACTTGACAAGTTATTCACGGTTTTTGTCCATAACTTGTCTGACTATGAACCATAACTTGATAAGTTTATCCATAACTTAGCTGGTTATGAACCATAACTTGACAAGTTATGACCTATTAATTTCTATAACTAAAAATTGGCCTATATACTTTCTTAAGGTTTTCATATTGGCTTATTTTCTACTATTTTCCAAACTAAAATCAGCCTCCAAAATAATGCTAAACGGCCCTAAATGAGGGCCTTTAAGTTATGGAAAACGTTCCTACTTGTATTTCTCCAATTTGTTTAGAGGATATTTCATCTTAATAATAAAACACGATTTCCTTAAAAAAAAAAAAAAGTGTATATCTCTTAAAAAGGGATTTTTTAAAAGAAACAAAAAAGAATCATTTTCACTAATGCTTATTTAATTTAAAAAAAAATGATTTTTAAGTTTTCACTTTTCCATTTAACTTTGAATTAATTCCATTTAACATTTCTATACGAACACATTACCTCGCAAAAGAAAATGGGCTCTTTACAGGACTTCTATGAAAACAAAGTATGGATTGACTTATATAAAAAATATAACTAATTGCAAAAAAGGCCATGCCACATCATCACATAATCTTTTGTAGTACCAAATATGTCCTTGGCAACGACCATAATACTGACTGGTTACCAATCGATAACCATTAGTATCCACCTAGATATTGGTATCCAACCGTGATACTAGTCGGTATCCACCTAGTTATTGGCCACACCACGGTGTCTCTCCGGTGCCACAAAACTTAAAAATCACAAAAAACGTCGCACAAATCAGAAACACGGATCTAATAATAAAAAGAAAAGCAAGAGGTACATCAAAGCGCGACGGTAACTTGCTCGTGAAGATCACGGATGTCCTACCAAGGACCACTGCAAAACACAGCAAACCACTGCAATTGCTCATCGCTTCTTCACATCTACGCTGTGATGGGAAGAGATCTTTACGAAGGACATTCTAATGGGAGAGAGATCTTCACGACTAGCTCGTATCCTCTCCATATCTATTGTCTGCATCGCGCCACTATGAAAGAAAATGCATTGCGTGGAGGAGGCCTGAGATCAGCTTTGCTTAGGAGGGGCGAGATTGGCATTGAAGGAACCGGCGGCTGTAGGAAGAAGGTGAGAGAGAAGGAAGGCTTCCTCAAAGCACTACCATCCTTGCGCCATTGGAGTTGTCGGCGGTGATGACACGAGGTAGGGACGAGCAGTTGTGAGAGATAGTGATGCAACGGAATGGATAGAACATAATTTTACCGACCTATCCCAGACAAAAGATGGGACATGAAATCTCAAATCTACATAAATGAAATCTCAAAAATAAAAAAAAAAAAAAAAAAAAAAAAAAAAAAAACCATAAGGGAAAAATTCCCAATTTGCAGAGAAAATGCAATTCTAGTGTTCAATTCTCAAAAGATTCAAGTCTCAGTATTACAATTGGTAATGTAAGTATTTATAGCTAACACACAAAACGATAACAAAATAACCACTAAGATAAACGACTTAATGAACATAACTAAATTAATAATAAGCTAAAGCAGAAGATAAAGAAAATATAAAAATAACTACTTGTCTACTAATAACCAAATCTCCCTGCATCAGAGAGAGAGAAAGTAGTTGCAATTGTGGTGGGAGAGATCATAAAGAACAGCTGTAAGGGAGGTGAGATAGAGAGAGTAGAGAGAGTAGAGAGAGAAAAGAAATCCCTAAGATTAGTTTGATGGTATTTTAGTATTTTTAATCTAATATTTGTTCAGAAGAATGAGTAACATAGCATAATTAGTAAGGTGATTAGTAAATTATAGCACAATTCTTTAAAACATTTAGTTTATAGCACAATTTAATATCTTAGGCTTCCAACAATATTAAAAACCTAAAAATACCCTTAAGTCATCTCTCTCCTTCCTCCTTCTAGTTAGGTCCACCATGACCGCCGGCGGCCGATTCCGACGGCTGCGGGCCGGCTCCGCCAAGCAATAAATGCTATATTCATCGTATATATCGTATTTACCAATAAATGCCAATTTATTCATAAATACTACATTTTTCTAGAAAATTTGGCAACTGATGCCAACGACTGGTAAATATCGTATTTACCGGTAAATATGGTATTTACCAAGTAAATACTATATTTACGGAAATATCCGGCGACCGGCTCCGCGATTGGTAAATACGGTATTTACTCAGAAATACTATATTTACTCGGAACTTAAGTCGCCAATGATCGGTAAATACCATGTTTACCAGTAAATATTATATTTACTCGAAACTATTATATTTATCCAAAAATCTGATCACCGATTCGGACAACTTGCAAATGTTGTATTTATCGGTAAATATCGTATTTACTCGTAAATACGATATTTACTTGAAAATTTAGCGATTTATAAATACTGTATTTATTAATAAATACAATATTAATGGTAAATTCTACTAAAATTTATCAATAAATACGATATTTATCAGCGATAATGACTGATAAATAGTGTATTTGCCCATAAATTCGGTCACCTACACCAATGACAATCGTCGGCAAAATATACACATTTCTCAAAAAAAAAAAAAAAAAAAAAAAAACCCAAAAAAAAAATAAAAAAAATTATTTCTC